ATAATTATAATTTTTAGTAATCGGTTCGTCGATTGGCGGTGAAAATCGTGATGATATGTATACCAACTTTTCTATCGATTCCCTTTTTGTGTTCGTATTTTATACCCTAAGTTGCCATGCCCCCATCACAAATAACCCTGGTCTCTCCTTATCCTAATTATTAATTCATTTCAGTTGCAAAACGAATCAAACGACTTGATAAAAATTGCGATGCAAGGCTAGACAATATTACGTGAGAGTATAACATGCATTGCATTGCATTGGTTTTATTACATAAACATATTCAAATACATAAAATATATAAGTACTTTGTGGTGGAGAAAATCATCAATATACTAATTGTAAAAACGAGTTATGGCTTCTAAGTGAATATATAGAAAGACGGAACATAATATGCACACGAAATACTCATTCTTCGTTTCAAATAGTGATTAAAACGATATTTACGCGTTATAATAACCACGCGAATTTCTATTTTCCACTTAGCTAAATAGTATTTTTTTATTAGCGTAGATTTATTATTTAAGTACTTCGGATTCTTGAAATTCTGCCGTCCATGTTTAAATGTCTGAATTGTTTGTTTACTTTGTAGCTATGTTTAACTTTTTTTGTTGCTGTTTTCAGTGAAAATATTTTCAATAATCTGTAAACAAAGAAATTTGCCAGGCAGATATTTTAAATAGCCCAAACAAATGTACATAATATGTGTGTCAGGTACTCATTCACTCTCTTAAGAGTATATTTCTACATGTCGATGTTTCGACACTAATGTCTTATAAAAAACTAGATTTTTATTTATGTACACTAGATTTATACGTAATTATGTCTAGATAAGACGTTTCTTTTAATACATGTGCATCTTAATTTAGTGTAACCTACTTTTTTAATGAAAAGTGCGTAGTCTTTAATTTTTTGTCAAACTAGTATGTTGGTATAGAATTTATTTGGTTGCTGGCTTATTTTTCTTTAATTTAAACTAGTTTGCACAGCCATATTTTTTCTTCTTTTTTTAAAGTGATACCAGTTTTTCTACTTATTGGAGTTATTGTTCTATTTTTAATGGCTGTATGGCGATGCATTGAATGCCAGATATAGATTAGATACTAAATTGAAAATACACCAAATATCAGTATCAGGTATCTGATTACATTAATTAGTCATTCACACACAGTATTCATGACGATTTCCAAACAATTCGTGGTTAAGAATAACCTCCATTAATTGAAATTTGGTTTCACGAAATAATGGTTTTCAAACAATTGCTTTTGAGCTCTTTTCAAGAATATATTTAACTATTGTTGATTCCCATAATCGTCACGTAATCTTATCTAGAGCCGCTCGGGTATTGTTGTCTGATTAACAAACGATGAGTAATGAGTGCTAATCAGCAAAGGACAGGGGCAGGGCGTTCCTCCACGGTGACTCATCGCATCGCCGGACGAGCATTCGATCTAACAAATCTGTTTCGCCGACCCAGACTGTTCCGGCATGACTCCGTCCATACTTCCAATAAATGTTGATGACATCGAAGACATACCGGAAGCGAACTCGCGCAAAATGCATGAGAAAAGTTACGACCGACGACTCCCTGCTTCAATGACATACGTATAACTATACATACACACTTTAACTCTTCACACGTCCGTCTATAAGATATACGAGATATAATCTCGCAAACCATTCGTGTTATACGATACACTTGTCGTGGTGTGCGTGACATTGGCATTCAGGTGAGACGTTCAGATACCTAGAACGCAAGGTCATTTGCCATACCCGTTAAAACTTTAATTGTATTATTTGCGATTCAACAATATTAGGTACTAATTGACCCCTCGATGGCTCGATTATGAAAATTATTAAATTCATTCCGAGAAATTGTTACGGCCGGTTTTGCTAAATCTACATCGGCAATCAGACCGACTAGGCATCGGCTCTCTCAAATTCTTTACGGCAAAAATCACGTTAGGCCAGTTTAATTAATGGGTACGCTATCTCGAGATCAGATAATTATACGAGAGAGTTAGATGTAATGATTATGGGTCCGATAGTGTTGATATTGCGTAGCTATGACAATATTTGGTTATCGCGTGAAGAGACGTGCCAATTACCGAGTATTGATGCCGTCGACCCGGTATGCCGATGTTATGCACGAACACCGTGACAGGTTCACTGACACACCTGTCTCGACTGCCAAATATGACATAGTTACATTTCACTTGTCAATTACAACCGATTATTTGCCTTAGATCTGTTCAAATATGTTTACATTAGATTTTAAAGCTCTTCGTCCGTTTCTTCCACGCCTCGAGTTAGTCATATGAAAAACAAAATGTGATGTGGCTGAATTAATATAGCAGAGACAAGTTAAAAATAGAAGACCTGTTTCAGATCTCGTATAGAATCTATGTATAGTTTATGTGGATTTGAGATGCTACTTTGTTTATCATCATTGCCGTTAAGGTTCTTTGTTCTTTAATTCATTACCAGACAATTTTTTTTGCGCGAATGTTTTGATCACCTTTATTTATAAATATTGCTCAATACAACGAGTATCGTTATATTATATGGCAAATTATCACGTACTGACTGTCAGTCGAATATGAATTTGAAACGTTGTAATTAGCCAAGGTAGCTTGGAGAACACGTGTCGGTAACCGCATTGAATGTGCTTCGCATACTGATGACGGCGATCATGGTCTGAACATTGCGTGTGCGCATTCCTTTGCTTCGGCGCCGCCCACCAACCGCCTTTTTAAATCATAGTCATGTCGCAGACCACGCGACCATCCAACGATTCCTAATAATTTGCCATTTCCTAACTCGACCACTTATGATGAATAGTACATTTGACCTTTGGAGTGTATGAATGAACTGCTTTTAGGCTAAATTCATTGCGACCCACAATACTAATAGTGTTTCACTTAATGTTATTTATTTAATGTTTGAAAAAACACGGCGTTGACAAGCTTACATTTTTATCTGAAATACGAGCATCCACGCTAATTAAATAAGTGACTTTAGCGTTTAGTTACATACCTTAAAATGATTGTATAAGGTGCGGAGTTATGTTTCGCACTTAGGTATACGTCAAACGTATATCAGTTGTCACGAAGCAGGTTCTCCCACGTTGAGTTCAGTCGAGTTACTCTCGCAGCGGCGCGCGGACTTGCGTATTGTCGCTCCAGCATCAGGGTTAACGAACCGATCGGCTACCACATCACTCTCCAAGCCACCCATTGTCATTTTTTGCATGACCCTATTATGTACGACACACATTCATTTCTTAACTGTACAGTGACATTAGTAATTTATTGTTGATAATAAGAAAACAGACAATCGTTCACTCAATTCTAGTCAAGTACCATTTTCTGCAAGTCAAGTTCATGAGTATAAGATAATATGTAGCTCTTTAATTTACTACTCATGTAGTGATACGTAATTTGTGGCCATCGATACTCTATTCATACTTCATAGTTGACGTCTAATTTAATATCTCCGACGTAGAACGCCAATGATAGGCTTCTCAAGACAACGGTACATTCGTTTCTCTGTAGACCAACATATTATCATAAGAAACACCTTTGTCTGTCATCTCCGTCGTGTGCATATTATAACAGATTGTACAGTTCTAAAATGATACTCGTGACTCGATTTAAAACTAGGTCCGAGGCTAGATTTCCATGAAAATGTTAATTTTGTCAAATTCGTGCTCAGAATTGGTCTAGAAAACGAGCATTAGAGTTTGTAGAAATTTAAGATTCCGTTAAGTTAAAAATGTGTTTAGTTTCTCTTGGAATTTAAATATAATAATTTTAAATAGCTTCTGTACAAGTACGTAACATTATTCAGAACCTATACGTCTACATAGTTCATATGTTATTTTTGAAGTTATAGTATGCTCTCATCGAATGTTTGAAATTACTATTTCCCAGTTGTATGAAATATCTAATAAACTTCTTACAAATAAATAAAATGAGGCCACATTAATGATCATATCATTTGTAACCATGTAGTCATAGACCGTCCGTAAGGAACGTACAATAGATTCTTCCTCGGCTAAATTATTTCTTTAGTGTCCCACTTCGCTTTTATTAATCCATCAACTATTCAGACTGTTTGCTCTCTCCATCCTGGATCAAGCTACTTAACTGTCTCCACACCAGTGTTTTAGAACTTTTTTTTTAATATAAACGTTTACGAGACGGTGTCATGGCTAAAAATATTCTATTCGCATTTCATATTATGCGTGCCTACAAAACGCTCATTGCAGTTGTAGTGTCGCTACGCATTCAATTAATGCTATTAGACGCCAAATATTATCACGTCCGTTATTTGTTTGAGTGTGGGTATAAAAGTGTAGTATGTAATAACAATGTTATGTTCATAATGTAATATTAATGAGCAGTGCAGGAATGAGCTTTTAAATTGGAGGTGTTTAAGTGAGAGCGGTGTCGTTGCACTCGGTACTTGTAGCTGGAGTCAAGGGCGGCTGCCAAGTACAGTCGCGTGCGCATCACAGCACGCAATCACTATATTCCCGTCCGCCTCATCACCCTCGGTGGGAACGGGAAGGCCTTTCGCAAAAATGAACTTTTTATGTCTTTTTGTTGAACTTAAACAGTCTAAATCGTGCTTCCACGACCTTAAACTATTTAAGTATTAAGTATGCTCACGATAACTTATAGAATCAGGTGTTACTTTGCGGAAATCCATGATATTAAATGTTATGAAAAATATCTAGATTATTATGTTCACATTAAATAAAATCCTAACAGAATGAGTAACCTTAGTTAAAACAACAGCAGTTATCGGTATTACTCGCCAGTTTCCCGCTGGGATGGCCGACTATCGCTACCCGTTTCCTCTGGTTTTTATAATCATTAGGTCTCCATTGTTTTGCAGCTGATTGCTCTTTTAATTAAACACTATTAGTGAAAACTATAACTGGAATGTAAGCTTGTAATGCAGCCTTTATAAATATTGTTTTTCTTTGTTCACAGGATCAGTATGATAACTTAGCCGCCCACACACATAAAGGAATTGATTTTTTAGACAAATACGGTAACTTCGTAAAGGAAAGATGTGCAATCGAATTAGAATATGCAGGAAAACTCAGGTGAATATATTTAGTACTTTAATAATGTAATACTGCTCGGCTGTCGCTGTGACTGGGCAACTGCTGTGCGATGTGCCGCGGGTTCGATTCCCTCAAAACAACACTTTGTGATCTACACTGATGTGGGTGGTTTGTGTATGTGAATTTGTATGTTTGTAAACGCACCCGCGACACAGAAGAAAATCTTACCTGGGGAATTGTTTCTTCTTAAAAAGAAATAAATGTTTCATACTATGTTTAAAAAGTTCGGTGCATTTTGACCAAACAATCTATTTTATTTGTTTACGTACGTATTCTAACTAGATAAAAAACAAGTTTTTGCGCGATTTAGATATGTTTTAAACCGATAAGACGTTGATTCTCGTTGTTATCGTAAATACAACGATAACTGTTGCTATTGCGATAACTCACTAGCATTTCTTTCGCATTATATTTGTATTTTTTGCAATACCAAAGCTTATAGTGCATTATGTAATGAATGAACAAAATGCGATAGACACTATTCAAAATGTCACTATGTCAACAGTAATTTTAAGCATACATATTATTGTGTCATCGATTCGAGATTAGATAAATTTTATCCATAATTATTATTCGCAAACAATTAGCAAATCCATTACACTGTTAATTATGTAGATGTGGTATTTATTTATGCAATAAAACTAACTACTTGTTTTGGTGCATTTATACAGATCGATCTCGTATTTTTTTTTGGATTTAAGTACTTAAAAAGTTTTAATTTACGTCTATGGTTGTTGATCTAAAACGAATCGTCTTTTACAGGAGGCTTGTAAAAAACTATCAACCAAAAAGAAAAGAAGAAGATGAATATCAGTGAGTATTATTTTATTGACTTGCGCTGAATACCGGATAGGATATGAATCATAGAGTTCTTTCCACGAACATACATATTATCTGGACGTCACTAAATACCTCAACTTTTACTTCGGAAGGACGTTGATTCACCGTCATTCTTAACTTTTGATTGGCTCTGATTAAATAATGTTTACTATTATTTACTAAGTAACTTCCTGACCGCGACTTTGTCTACTAACCTTAATAAATTATCCTCTGGAATCATTATATCTACTAAAAGAAATTACATTAAAATCTGTCACGTAGTTTTAAAGATCTAAGCTTACATAGGGACAGACAGCGACTTTGTTTTATACTATGTTAAACAAAACAGCGCTGGTTTTACATTGAAACTGTTGGTAACAAGTTAAAAACATGCTCAGTTTTCCTTCAGCTATTTTTGCTTCGGTATATTTAGGGATTTATTGGGGATAGAATAGACTTTATGTCAAGCGTTCATATGACCCAGATTCCAGAAAATTCGAAATTGAATTGGCCAATTCTGCATTTTTCGATGTGATCACGTTCCGTACGCCGAATCTGACTTTCAGACAAAAGCGCACGTTACATTGAAGTTAAACTGCAGTATTGTCTTGTTTACTAAATCCGATTTATTGGTAAACTGAATTTGGCACGCCAATCGCTCAGCCAAGAATTTTATGTTTGTATAGTGTGTGTTTGATCGGTTATTTAGAGTTGATGTGGCTATAATAGCTTTGCATAACTCTCGTTTTTTATACACCATAAATTCCAGGTGATAAGACGCTTCAATTGTCTGTCTGTCTGCATTGATGCTAGATTCTGTAAACACTCAACAACTATTTGTTTTCTATCGCTTAACAGTACATTTTCAAGAAAGTATTTCTTTCGATATAGTCCGATTAATTTCGATCTCGAACGGAGCTCTCATTCATATTCTCAACACGCTCAATTTTGTTACAACGCACATTAATATGTCAAGGTTGCTCAGTGACATTATTTTGGTTCTATTAAGTGACTGGACATTGAACCAAGAGTCCTTCATTGTATCGTTAAACTAACTGCATGTTTACTACTTGTGCAACGAGTAACAATCGTTAAAATTTTAGGTATACGGCGTGTAAAGCATTTAAACAATTACTTCAAGAACTAAACGATTTCGCGGGACAAAGGGAAGTGGTCGCGGAAAATCTACAGTCAAATGTAGTTCGAGAGTTGCATCTACTCGCCAAAGAACTGCGAGAAGAGAGGAAGGTGAGAACGTTATCCTTATTAATAAAAACATATTTAATTCAGAAGGCGACTGACTTCTCTTTCGTGAACTTAATAAACCTGTATTGTGTGTTCCATCGAGCTGTCATGTTTCCTTGATTGTGTTATAGTACAAAAAATAATAATACTATCGGTAACGCGTAGAATATGCAACAGCTCATAAATAGGTAGAAAAATCTACCAACCCAAGTACATCAACATGAAGTCGAGCGTTTATTTCGCACTAATATGTACCTATGTAATGTTTATAAGGAAAAATATTGTTAACACGTATGACTGTAAGCTTGATAAAAACTGCAGCGTATAACAAAAACCACACTGTTTTTATTCGGGATACGTATGGCTGTAGAAATTGTCACGTAGACATTTATGGCGATGCTCTAATTACTTAGATTCTATTTGGCGAAGCGTTCTCGACCAATTGTACAGGTCAAAGTTTGTATGAAGCAGTCCAAATATTATTTTGTAAGTATTCTATACCACATATGTACAAGCGTCTCAGACATCCTACAGCAACGGCCGGTACCTTTACGCAGGAATTCTAAAAATAAACGTGACTTCATCGCCGCTTGTAATTCAAAATCGTATGGGCCCCAAACAACTGTGATCTTGATTGTCTTTGAAATTACTTTGTTGATGAATTTATTTGATCAATCAACCTCATGTGTTTCATTTTAATTCCAGCAACATTTAAACGAAGGTGCGAAACAAATGGGAGTTTTGAACTCATCGATAGGTTCGTTAGAACGAGCGAGGAGATCGTACGAACGGGCTGCCAGGGAGTCCGAACGAGCACTGGAGACCTTCCAAAAGGCAGACGCCGACCTTAATCTGAGGTGATTATCTAATAGACTACTTCACCGATAATACTGTCTTGACCCAGAAACTGTACAGCTGATTAAACAGTGCGTAAAGTGTACAGCGAATTGTTAACGCCGTGGTAATCGAATTTTAATGCCGCGTTATTTCAATGTTAACATTGATTTTCTTGTTATCGGAATTAGTTATAATAATTTTTCGTATATGATTTTGGAAATGTTATGGCATATCATTCGTGCGTAAGTTGGCAACAAGAAAATATTCTTGACCTCATAAAGAATGCGATGGCAAGTTGGCATACATTCAATACTTATGCGGTACAATATAAAGCGTATGTAGGGTTGGAGATGTCATTGCCTTTTAAGTAGGATTTGTGCCATTGTGACCTTTATGTCTATGTAATAAATAATATGAAACATAAACTTGCATGCAATCAACTTTAATAGCCATATGCTGGTCGTTCACTTGATATACGAGACAAATAGAAAACTTCAGTTAGTTCCGTTGCCGATACTGTTGTGGTCGGATCCAGAACTTTGCCCTACAGAATATAACATAATCTCTATGGTTATCCACGTGTTAATTGAATGCTAAATATATTTATTGATGAAGGAAAATGCTCCAGTAAATATCTATTGTTTTTACAAGAGACCTAAGCGGGAATGGAATGTCAGTATTTAGTCAAGCGATAAGTTAATAGGAATTAAATATACCATTAGGTTCACAATTGCTCAGTTTAATCGTTTAATTTATTAATTTTCATTAAACGAATCCATCAGAGATTCAATTCCAGCGGTTCGATTTTGAGTTAAACTCAATATAGTTTTACACATGTATAAATCTTTATATCAATTAGTTTTAGATAATCAAATTGATTGCCATTGTAAACTATAATTGATTTGGAAATTAAACTGCTATTCGATTAACCATACAGTAATTTATACATAAGGAACTTAACACAATCTATACTAATATTTTTAAAGAGGTAAACGAAAGTTTGTATGTAGGGGGTAATCTTTGGAAACGCTTGTCGGAATGCCAAAATTCTTTCACTGACATATAGGGGCTGAGGGCTATAGCGGCGGGCAATGGGTAAAACCGCGCGGCAGTAACTAGTGTTTTATAAGAATAAAATAACAAATAAGATCTATAACTAACTAAGACTTTCAACCAATAAAGGGCAAATGCAAATGCAAATGCGGCAATTCATTCACACAGTATCGTTTCATCGATAAAATCTAGACTATCTGTGGACATCATTATTTAAATTGTAAGGTTGTATCTAACCGCAGCAACTTTGTATTGCAGTCGGGCAGAGGTAGAGAAACAGAAAGCGAATATGAAACTCCGGAGTCAAGCGTGTGAAGACGCTAAGCAGGAGTATATGGATCAGCTGCGCAAGACCAATGATGCTCAGAGGCAACATTATGAACAACGGCTGCCACATGTATTTAAACAATTACAGGTTAGTACAACAGCTACCAAAAGCCTATGATGCCTACGAACGACGAGCTTGCATGGAAAACCAGCCAACAATCTCTTGACTCAGGCCTTGAACGCAACTAGGCTACACTAGGTCTCATTGGTTTCATTAAGAAAATACGGTAGTTTCCAAATAGTCACATTCAATACTTTTATCGAAATGTCAAAAACTATACTTTTCTATGAAATTTATATGAAAAACTGAGGTATGACGTCATAGTATTTTTGCATCAAATAGCTTACTTATTTCTTAATAATTAGCTACAAAATATCTAAAACTTAGTGTATCGATCGATCGATGAATAAAAGTTCATATAGTTATTTTTAAATATTTTATTGTAGGTATTGAAACGTCGAAATAATTTATTTTTAACCTAGGAAACTACTTAATTATCCCCAAAGGACTTGGTAAGCAATTATGCAGCCTTCATTGGAGCACGCTTAGACATAACAACCTGTTCAGTCAGGCCTTGAAGGTTTTAACCCTTTAGAAAGAGAATTTAGGCAAAGAATAACGACTCCATACCGGTTCTATATCTTTTCACGTGTTTGTCCATGTTAGTTACTTACATGTTTTCTAATTAAAAATTACGTTTTTGAAAAATGATGATGAATATACTTTTTATGTCATAAACGTCGTGTCTAAATGTCTATTTATAAATGGAGGTTTTTAATTAACTTACATATTATTTGTTTATAATAACGTTAAGCATAAAAAGTGAAAACAACCATACATATACGAATATTCAAGTTTTTTATGATTCCAATCATTTGAATAATTATGACTTATTGAAAAATTATTGACCATGTTTTATAGTTAATTGACACGAAACAGTTTTTTTTCATTTCACATACAACATAGTAAAATATTAATATCGTATAAGCCACGCCTCTTACAACAGTAATTTTCGTTCGCTTAATGATCACCATAATTCACACATAAAAGCGCTTTTGAAATTACTATATCTGTGCTTTGGTTTCGTGTGACAAATACCGTTGGGACGCAATCTGCATCCAAAAATAATCTCTTAGTAAGTTTACCGGTGACTTTAATAAATTACTATCTAATGATTTACTGAAACGAGAAATACTGAACCATATTTTAATAAGTTTAATGTCCAATTTCTTTGATATTAATCACTTTTATTATATCTTAATATCACAAGAATAATATCGCAATTTAATGGCAATTTGTCAGGAATTATAAATTCATCTTTATACTTAATACGAGGACTAATTGAAACTGTCAGTTTGCCTCCGACTGACTTTTTAACAAAATGTCCGTTTATTACGAAATTTTATATGAATTGTTAGATCGTAACTTTCTTGTGCACGTGAATCTTGAAGAGATTCAGGAAAATGTTGGGCCTCAATGCAACCACTTTGTATAGTGCATTCTGGCGGGACGCCAACCAGGTCAAATGGCACAGACATACATAAAACAAGACCACTATTTTCGTATAATACGGAAACTTGTTTATACTTTGACACGTAATTATTTTTTGCAGGATTTAGACGAGAAAAGGATAAAAAATATAAAGAACTTCATGTTAAGTTCTGTCGATGTTGAAAGGAAGGTGTTCCCCATTATTATGCAGTGCCTCGACGGTATGGAGACAGCTGCGAATAGTATTAATGAAAAAGAGGTAATAAATTATTTTATGAATAATATGTATATGTATAAGTGCATGATTGGTTTTCTTGATACTTGTATGTACTGTAACGAATTGCGACATAAAATATGGTATTAGAGCCCTTTGATAGTAAATTACTATTTGCTTTTACTATGGCAATAAAATATGCAAGCAATCATTATCAATGCATTTAACAATTTTATTTGTACTGCGTACTCTTATACCTAAGATATGACATAGCAATCAAACAATGATTCACACAAGTAATTTTATCTGAAACTTGAGATAATTACGTTCTTCTTCATACTACGCCGAGTTTTGTACATTGATATCCTAATTGTTATTTTATCCACTTATGTTTTACACGTGTGATGAATAATCTATGTAGTCTACTCATATCGTGACCGGCTCCATGTTTACATAATATTAGAATTTGTATCACATATTGTTAAGCTAGTTGATCAACCACCATTAGACTAATAATAACTCTAACTTAAGTGTCGTGATGTTCCCATGATAAGTACTTTAATATCAAAGAAAATAGTTTATTAGCAACATATTAAAACATTTTATAATGATCGTTAAACTAAGAAATGGGTTACAGTAATGCTAACGGCGAATTTATGGCCCATTGCAATCTTACGGTTTGAGCGACCTAAAAACCGAAGCCATTAATATTTTGGCACCGTTTGATTTTTTTTTTGTAAATAAAATTACGTTGTTTATGTTTTCAGGACACAAAATTAGTGATAGACAGGTATAAGTCAGGTTTCGTGCCGCCTGAAGATTTCCAATTCGAGGCCGCGTCCGGGGCTGATACGACGGACTCTGCAACCACACACCACCACACACACAACCATCTCACCGCGGCGCGGGGCACCGTCTCCGGGAACAAAATCAAGAAGCGAGGAGGCCTTCTGTCCATCTTCAGCTCCAATAAGGTGAGATGAACATAATCTAACTTCAGGCCTCACCAGGATGGGTGCTTTTGGGCTATATAGGTACATGTTTGTGTACTACATACATAACAAGTGGATAGATCAATGGAGGTATCTTTAGTCAATGGTTCCATATTATGTTATAGTTAGCATCTATGGAGCCAGCATTGTTAACTCTCGCCTAGTTTTATATCGAGTTTATTCATCTGTCTTATATTGTACTCGATAATACGGGCGCATATGTGAGACCTAACGCTGCTCGCTCCATTGTGTAGTTAAATATTATTATTATTATTTTATATGTTACATTTGCTATCTTATCGTATCCGAACATTTGTTCGTTACATTTATTTTTGAAGCCAATTATAAGGTTATGGGGCTGTTTGCTTGAATTTGTATGGGCTTCATATAAGCTTATTTTAATGTTATGAATATTTAATTATTACTATTACGTACTTGCATGTTATATTACTATTTTATTTATTTACATTTTTGTACAATAGGATTTGATGTTATATCACTTTTATGTTATTACATTTGTTCTTTATTTACACAGCTGGCGTATAGTCATGAAAAGTTTATTAAAATCGAAACAGTTGAATGAGGAAAACAGAAAACACTATGACTAAACGCCAGTGGTGGAGGTTATATATTATTTTTATTATTATGTGTAAGTTGGAGGTACTAATTTATTTTTATCTTTCAATCCCTGTATGATCCCTACCTAACATGGGTACAAATAACAACCAATTGATATTTTGGCTGTCGGCGTTGGTGCCATGTCATGTGGAAAATGTAAGTTGCCCCGCGGCGGTGGGGATACTTCAGTCATTCGCATGATGCACTGGCTTCTGTTACTATCAAACAACAAGCTATTATGAATAACACCCTTAAAAAATGTTAATACATACTTAAACTTTCTTTTTATTATCTGTACTTAATTTCAATGTTATTTTAAACGTTGTTGCATGACTCAGAAGTAGGTGCGTGGGTTGTTATCGATGCCATATCGGCACTAGCGTTTCTGTAACTTGCATTCCCGATAAGATGTTACTTATAAATTGACAACACAATTACGTGAATTACCGAATTGTAAATTTTTTAATCGATGATAACAAAAATTCCATTTTTATTTTTAGTTAAATGTTTTATATTGAATTATTATTTAAACAACATGTTTATTTTGGTAGCGATTTCTAAGTTTTACAGATAAGTTTGTTATTGGAATCATGTATAATGACAAAGCTTAGATTACAAGGAGTCATGCGATGACGTTTGATGAGATCTTGACACGTTCCACTGTGAGCAAATCACCTTTTTATGTTACGTGGTGTACGTGGTCCTCTTTGGTAGGGCTTTCGTCCGGTAGGTGTGATTGTAAACCCTCATGATAATGTTGTTTGTTTGCCTCCCCCGTCCCGCGCGCGCCGTCTAACGCTTGCAACAGAAGATTGTCGAGGCCTGCAACTCGATCAAGGTCAGTCCGGTGTGACTCGTGAGTTGTGCATTCGGTCGTGTGTGCCTGAGATTGTTTATTGGTCTGTCGACTCTGTTATTGTAACGATAGCCTCTACATTTCTATGTTTTGATCGATTGTTTGATGTTTATCTTGCGTAATTGATGTGAAGCATGACTGTTTTTGTTTATAATCACTGAATTTCGTTTACAGCGTTTTCGTTGACAGTAATTACGCTGTTATACCTATATCTTATTCTTGAATTGTTTATCTATCGAAGCACTCTGCCTTAATGGTCTGTGTAAAGATGAATAAATTCAGGATAGTACAGTAAATCAATATTAAGATCAATGTTAGCGTGTTTCTCACAAATCTCTGGTGAATGGCATGATGTTGATGTATTTATGATGCAGCGATGAGTAATGCGATTCTTACATGAGTGGATGTGACCAGTAAACTTTCTCTACGAACACATACTCGGTTGGTTTGTATAGCTTGGTCTAACTTACAATGCTTGCACGGCCTTCATTGTTTTCAGCGCACTTGCATTCTTAGTATGTTTTTATTTTCATAATTGTTGTGACTAAGTATTTGTTTAGCGTTGTGTGTATTATATTATATATTGATTGTTGTATAATTTATATTTAGATTTCCCCCAGCAAGTTGTACAAGGTCACTTATCATTTTAATTGTAGTTTACCGGGAATGTCGGGCAGTTGGGTTTTAATACTTCCTATATATCAGTGGTGTATTTGACAGAGATTTATAATTACTTTAAGTGACAGTGATTGTAGATATTTGCAGCATGTTTATAATCAAACATTTATTTAAAGCTAAAAACATTGTAAGGATTTGTTACACACTTTGTTTAGATGTTTTTTTAAAGTTTGTTTTATACAGGGTGGTATTTTAGTGGAGTTGTCAGTTTGTGGTGAAAGGTTGCATTGCACTGTGCCATGTAGTAACATACTGTATATTAAAAGTGCTGGTTTGTGTTACAGAATAACATGTCTATGGATGGAAAGGAGGATTATTCAGACTTGCCACCGAACCAGAAGAAAAAGAAACTTCAAGCAAAAGTTATGGAGTTGAGTAAGCAGGTCAGTATGAACGCCAAATTTTTCCTCATCATTAATAAGTACATAGTGATTAATCAGTACATTTTAATACAGTTATTGATACAGAGTTTAGTGGCATTTTGTAAGTTGTTAAGGATTTCGGAAATAGGCCTCGGTAACCTCACTCAAATGGCGAAACAACGAAATCTACGATTCACGGTTTTCTTAGAGGACGTGGTTTTACTCCGGTCGAGCAGGCCCATTCGTGCCGAAGCATAGCTCTCCCACAATTGTCTAAAGAAAGTGGCAATATAATTATTATTCATATTATACCTACATGAATACTGTTATTATAGTTTTACACTGTTTATGATATCTAGTTAGAGTACCTACTTATGTGTCACTTTTATGCCACAAATGCAAACACGTTTTAAGCCCAGTGCATATAGATTACAGCTTATCACGATAGAGTGGTTTTGTAGTGCAGATAATTGAAAATGTTTTTATTTTAATTATTATTATTTAAACCTGTAGAAAGATCTGGGTTTTACATTAAGCATTACTGCTTTATTCCTTTAGGGATAAAAGATCAGTGGCCATCATAGTTACATTCACAGAATACAAGTGCATCCAACTTATTTTATTTATATTAAAAAAGGTAATAGATAAATCGTTGTGATACCAACCTGTCGTCATTAGCCCTTATCTAAAACAAAAAAGCCATTATTTAGTAGCTATTCTCTAAGTTTCTCTTTATAGATATTTCTAAATTAAATCATATATTAGCAGTATTCATTGAGGTAGGTAAATAAAAACTTTTCCTTAAACAATCCAATTTGTGCCTTGGCCGGCTATTCGACATTACTGTCACGCCGTTTTCGGCCATAACTTAATGGGAATAAGTGTGTAAATTATATAATTGTATTTTTAAAATCCTTGTTTCTCTTATTCAGTTGTTTTTCTTTACCTGTATAATATATACAATTATAACTATGTACAATTATGTATGACATAGAGAATTTATTGTATTTACTATTGTGGTACCTATGCTAATTTATAACGTTTCTAACATAAACATATGTAAACAATAGAAATGTAAGAAATGTCTTTAAAGTGAAATTCCTTTGTTAGAGATGGAATGCAACTGTAACGAGAGCTATGGATGTTATGCACTTAGGTTGAAAAGTCGAATCGGGCTACAGTAGTCTACTAAGGCACCAGTCTCTTAAGTCTCTCTTATCTATGTATGGACTCTGTCTATAAGTTCGTTTGGCAAAAAATTATGAATGATAAGAGCGAGGGAACAAAATAACTCTCATATCTCTAACCCCTAAAAGACTTCGTGTATCGGAGTGGCACTGATTAGTTATTATCAGGTAATTAGTTTGTTAGTTTGGTCTCATCTATAATATAAAAATGAATCGCAAAATGTGTTGGTAAGCGCATAACTCAAAAACGCCTGGACAAATTTTGCCAAATCCTTTTGTTTTGTATTTATTGTTGTCTTGAGAAGGTTCTTTTGAAAGAAAATATTAGAAAAGTGGAGGGGAAAATTGGGGATAAGGGATCCTTTCATTGTAAGCGAGATAATTGGACCTGTGCGAAGCGGGGGTGGGCCGCTAGTATCCCATAACCCTCTGAGATAGGGAGAGAATACTAGACTGTAAAATAAATAAATATTTCGGTTCCCTAAACGAAGGAATCTGCGATAAACACGAAAAACACAGTGGAAAACTAATATTAAATGTATTCTACTAATTAGTCAGTTTCAATAGTTTAAATACATTTTCATGTTTCAGGTGGCTCAAGAGCAAGCGGCAATGGAAGGCCTCATGAAAATGAAAGGAGTGTACGAGACGAGCCCTGCGCTTGGAGATCCCATGACTGTTGAAGGTTAGATACATTTTTCTTTACAATGTAGAATATAGGAAGGTTATCTCAGAGTAAAGAAGCAAGCAGTTTTTATATTATTAAGTAGTTTGTTTATATAGTATCTTGTTGTTAACTTTCGTTTTTGGTTGGGAATTATTGTTTTGAGGATCGACTCTAGCATGTACCCTAAAAATCGACAATCTAAAATGTACGAAGTTTTAAATTACATCATCAATTCGACTAAACGTTCCCAATCACATTTTTGCCTGTTTATGAAAATGACCATATTATTAAAACAGTATTAATGCGAAAAAGTCATTATTTAAATACCTTGAAAGGTACCAACGTACTATACGTTGTAATTTCAAACGAAATAGAGCTTTTCTCAGATACTTTCCATGAGTGAGGTTAGTTTCAATAACCATATTAAATAATAAATTTTAATTAGGCGCTTACGACACGAAATGCGTTAGCGAACCGTGAGATCATGTTGGCCCAATCAGCTAAGTCGTCTTGTTTTCTTTATTAATTTAACTTTACCAAATATATTCCTAGCTAATAGACCATAAGCTACACTAGCGCCCCCAATTGATACCAACTTACCCATCGCAGGTCAACTAAACGAGTGTTGCGATAAGTTGAAGAAGCTTCGCGCTCAGCTGAACAAGTTCGAGGAGTTGTTAGCTGAGGCCAACAGTCAGGTGGGCGCGCCGCCCCTACACCCCACCGCCAGGACTAATGGACAGGCGCCCACGCAGGCCACCAGGTAACCAGGAATTTTATACTGTTCTCGTCTGTAAAATAAGCAAAGGAATGAAATGAAACTAGGGATGTTGTTTCAAGGCAAACCAAAGCTAATTGTGTATCATATGGATAACGACTGTACTTGTGCTTGGAGAGACGAAGGTATATTTGGCGATTTGTCAATAAATGACAGCTAATTGGAATTTTGTGGTTTGTGTCTTACGAGTAATCTTCTTATATATAAAAATGGATCGCAAAATGTGTTGGTAAACGCATTACTCAACAATGCCTGGACCAATTTTGCTAATTCTTTTTAACCGACTTCAAAAAAGGAGGAGGTTCTCAATACGACGAGTATTTTTTTTTTTTTTTTTTTTTTTATGTATGTACACCGATTACTCGAAGACGCCTGGACCGATTTGCAAAATTCTTTTTTTATTCGATAGGGTATACTTGCCATTTGGTCCCATTGTCATGAGGTCAGGATCTGATGATGGAATCCTGGAGAAACCGAGGGGAACTTTCAAAAATTGTAGGGGCGAGTAGTGTTTTTGTATGATGTTTAAGTAGGCCTTTATCAACACTACAACTTGACGAAGGTCGAAGTCGACCAGATGTTGGAGCTGGAAGACAGTCGAGGGATCTCCTTGACTATTTGAAGTAGTTGCCTTGTGTTTGGGCTTGAATGATTCGTATTGACGAGCACTTTGCAGCAGGCTTGGTTGTAACTGTCATTAAGGGTCTGATGATGAGAACGAAGGACAGCTCAAGGAACTCCTGAACGGTTTACAGTAACTACTTCGTGTTTGAACTTAATTCATTTATATTGATGAAAACTTTGTACCTGTATGTATTATAACAACTGAAGGTCTGCAGTTTACCTGATGATGGAGACTATTGACCGTCGAGGGAATTCCGGATGGAACCGAGAGACAGTCGAGAGAACTCCTCAACGATTCATAGCAGCTTCCTTGTGTTTGAGCTTAATTAATTCGTTTTGATAAGAAATTTACATCTAGATGGATTGTGACTGTCATCAGAGATCTGATGATAAAGACGAAGGACAGTCTAGGGAACTCCTCAACGGTTTACAGTAGCTACCTCGTGTTTGGACTTAATTTATATTGTTAAGAACTTTCCTAGAGATATGGCCTGTGTTCCAGTAGTGGGAACATTAAAATGGCTGATGATGATGATGATGATGATGAGAACTTTCCCGTTTCTTGAGATCTATATTTTTTTACAGAATAAAACAAAATGAGAATTAAGACTGTTTAATTGCTGAAAGACTAAATTTCCACAACTAACAACGCAGCTATCTACTACTACTTTTATCAACCAAGTACGAGAAAACTTTCATAATTCATCCAAATATGTATCTTTCTAAGCTATATACAGTTTCGCCGGTAACGCAACCATATAGACTTCTGATTCTACGCTAACGCCATCAAGTTAGAAAATCGGTACTACATTTCTTAAATCCTAACAAATAAATTCACACGCGCCCGGCGAGTGTAGGTACTCATGTATCATGCTTATTATATTATGTATTAGGCTTGGCACCGACTTCAAACCTATGAATAGGTAGCACATAGAATTGATAGTGTTTTATTATTAACATTAAAAGTATTAGCTTCGCGTACGTAAGAGTGGTATTAAAATATCAATTTTAATTACTTATTTGACACTTTTTTGTTTTTGAAGTCGGTTTTTTTAAACGTAGTTTTTTTTTTGTTGTGTTTGTTATTGTCTGGAGAAGGTTCTTATCAAAGAAAATATTAGAAAAAGTAAAGGGGAAAATTTGGAAAAAGTGACTCTTTGATAGCGAGATAGTTGAACCCGTGCGAAGCGGGGGCGGACCGCTAGTAAACAAAATAGGTATAAAATACGGATATGTAATTAGTTACAATATTATGCGACCAAAACAAATGTACATTTCATATAGGTACAAGATCTATTTATGTATATGAAATTGTATCAGCTGGTTGCGATCTTATAACTAAAAATCGATGAAAGAATTGAAGCTTCTTACTTGATATACAATAATGTATGTTTATGTGTACCTAACTGGTAATATAATTCCAGCATCGGATCAAACAGTGAATCTCTATCGCGGTCGGCTTCGGAGTCGTCGGTGAGCACGGGAACGGGTACAGGCGGGCCCGGGGCGCGCGCCGCCGGTGGCTCGCCGGAGTCGGGGCTTGGCGGCGAGCTCGCTGCCGTCCACCACGACCACCACGCCAACGGCGACCACGACCACGATCCCGACAACGACCACGACAACGACCACGAGTCGGACTTTGATTACTATTACTGCGAGCCCGATCTGCAACCCGTCGGATACTGCAAAGCTTTGTACGCTTTTGAAGGTGAGTCATTTCAGTAATTTGTTTACACTTATCTATACTAATACTATTTATTAAGGAAAGCTTTAGGCTATAAAACATCACTCCGATTAGTAAGAGCCTAGCAGCGAGTGAAACAGCCCGACAGAAGCTAGTTCAGATATAAGACTGCTACAAAACCCACGTCATATAGCTTTTTTAATTTGTAATAGAAATGAAAATCTGTTGAACATAATTGAGGGTTTTAGGTAACTACTGTTGTCTGTACATGACATTCCGAGTTTGGATTCTATTATATACTAGCTGTCCCACGCGGTTTCACCCACGTTTTTGATTTCTTTTCCGCTCCCGTGGATTTAAGCGTGATGATATAGCCTATAGTCTTCCTTCATAAATGAGCTATCTAAAATCGAAAGAATTTTTCAAATTGGACCAGTTAAACTTGAAATTGAACGCGCTCAAACAAACAAACTCTTCAGCTTTATAATATTGTATGTTTACCAGGTATCGGCAGCGGGTCCACGATGAAAATGGAGTGTGGTGAGCGTCTGCTGGTTCTGGAGACGGACGCGGGCGACGGCTGGACGAGGGTACGTCGCCACCACACCAGGGAGGAGGGGTTCGTGCCCACCACATACATCGCCACCACGCTCTATGCAGACGCTAATGCGCACTAGCTGGTCAGTATACACTTGATAATAGAGAAATGAGTTTTTTATTTATACTTTGATGCACACATGATAGAGGTACGGCGGACATAAATTTCCACATGGCAATCTCTACCAGTCAATTTTTCATTATTCAGTAGAATAACGAAGAAAAAGTTCATGTCATAGTAACTTGAAAATGAGAAAGAGAGATAAGATAGAATTGGGAGAAGAAGAAAGTAAGAGTGTGAGGTAGAAGATAAAAAAGATGAGATGAAAAAGGGAGATAGTAGTCGTATTATAATTTCATAATGCATTTTTTTTTTCTATTTACCTGATTCATGTGTGTATGCATATCTTTACTGTATAGCCTATTTTGATGTCCAGGTTTGTAATGATATGGTCTGTTCCAGTGGTGCTGTCCCGGGCGCGGAAGGGCCGCGACGAGGTGACAGCCGGCCGGGCGTGGCGGAGCCGGTCAGCCTCCGCTCCCCGCCGCATGCACGCGCTACCTTGATATGTTTTGTGGCCTATAATATAGTAACGAGTATTTTTGCTATAATTTATCGTATCGAAAACGTTCGCATTATTTTTTTATCGTGTTCTTTCTATTCCGATTGTTATCCTGGCGTAGGCCACCTTTGAACAAAAACGGAAACATTCCATGATCTTATTTATTGTGTATATTGTTGGTTATATGGCATACATATTTTCATGTATGGAGTATACAGTAATAGCGTAATGTTAATTGTAATGTGGTGTAACTCATCTAGATCTTCATTGTGCCAGCTGTTTACGTAATAAGTTTATATTTCGTACTTATGATAGTTGTAATCTTGCTTTTATGTTATTTGCCATTGAGTATTTGAAATTATAGCAAAAATAGATAAAGTTTAGGTGTTATGAAATGTGTAAAATATGTAAACTTAGACATAACTTGAAATGCTATCGACATATTATAATGATTTATGAATAACATGTAATATGGAATCCTGTGTCAACTATCACATGCGATCTATTGTATAATACTTACTTTAATTGAATTTTATATAGGATATTATCTAATAAAGCTAGCTAAAGTCACGATTAGCCGATGTTATTTTCTGAATATACGCTTGTTTGCGGGAACGTATATATAGTTCATGTATTTATATTTAGGTGAGATGATGTATGAGTGAGGCATACAATTTTTCTACAAATATAAAATTATGTGACAATTATGATTTGTGATTTATTTATCTTCCCTCACTGACACTATACCAACGAGGTCAAAGGTATTAAGAAAAGTAAATTGTGCAAGGTTTACAAGGTTTTGAACCTCCTTTAAAAAGGAGTATTGACCTGGTATGACCTAGCCTTACAACATACCAACTTAACGCGAACGATCACAAAATAACACTAGGATGTTCTATTTTGTCGTGGATCCTTTAACTATCATTCATATACACAAGTCACCCGGACCTGAAACAAGAATTTGTGGATCATATAGTACTGTTCCGTGCGATAATCGAACCTGCGACACGTTGCACAACAGTTACTTATTAATCTAATATTATTCATGGCGAATTTCTCGCAAAAAAGGGCTCTACGGGCTGATGTTCACCCGAGGTTGCGGGGTAGGCGCAATGTGGCACCGTGGCCTCGGCCTAAAGCAGAAAAAGGAAGGGGAGGGGGGGGGGGGTTGTTCAGTAAGAATCTGACAAATTCCCTCGTCTTAACCTGGGCGGGAGAAATCATCTCATGACTGTCCCCTGACAAGAAAAAAAGAACCTATGGCGAATTTCGAGAGTAAATACAAAAAAAAAAAAAACGTATCTAGGAAATACCTCTCTCCGTCGGTCCAGCTCTAATTCGTTCGTTATGCATACTCTAACGACGTTCAGAGGGTTTATAAGTGGACCCACTCACCTAAGGTCACTCCAACCCATTGTATCAATTGACATTATTTAAGAGAATAGGGCGGGCGGCAAACGAGCAGATCTATTGACCCACGCAAAAGATGAAGGATAGGATTAGGACTAGATTGGGATAGGAGAAATATTGTATGTACTTTTTGTTTTATTTATTGCAAACCTGGCAAGTACCAATGTGACTTTTTCCGAGTTATCTATTATGTACTTCCTATGATTATTTAGACACCACTGACATACGGTGAAGGTTAACATGGAAGCCTGGACTTATAATTTCTCATTATAAGTTAAAATCGCCAACCCGCATTGAGCAAGCGTGGTGATTAATGCTCTAGACCTTCTCCGTGAGAGAAGAGGCCTTTGCTCAGCAGTGGGCACTTATGGGCTGATAATGAAATGATGATGAACTTTTTGTTTTAAACATCTACATCTCAAGATATTTTTGTTTATAATTTTTAATCAGAGCAATACATCGAATATGTGTACGAAATAATAGCAAAGGTGCATTTGCAGAAACTTATTTCTTATAAGTTATAAGCACAAAGCTACTAGAAAATTGAGACAGTAAAACTTTTCAACTGGGACCTTTTTTAAAAATAAGATAAGAAAACTTTATGAGTAGACACATAGCATCTTACGAAATAATATATTTGCTAATCGAGAGACGGTTTTGGACTCGTGACCGTGAATGGTCAAGCATGGGGCATGGGATAGGCCCAATTTTCTATTTCGTTTTTGTTATGTACATACGTGTCGTAGGCCATACCAGTGAACTCGTACTTATTTTCTAAATAGCGCATTCTCACTGATTATCGACGTCATCAAAAATATTATCATACTTAACATTAAGCAGTTGGCAGATTAATGCTACTTAAAAATACCTTTGAAGTCGGTTAAAATAGGATTGTAAAAGCGTGAATGTCGACTTTAAAATTCTGAAGTGAGCATCTATGTGACAAAGTGAGAATGTGCTCATTAGCCAAACGCTCAAAGCTTGAGCTTGGGACTCGAGTGGCTGAATATCCGAGAGGTTGTATTCAACTTGGCTTTGTAGTTCTAGTATACAGCAGATAGATGGCGTTACGTACCTAACTGTGTAATGTGTAAAAGTGTACCTATTAGTCGTCTCAACTTTTTTTAAAGAATTCTACTTCTTTTATTTTATGAGACTGATACTAGTCTCTTTAACTATCTTGAACGGATTATAAAATAAAACCTTGCACTTGATTTTGTTTTTAAAATATGTAGGTGGATTTATTATACCATCTTCAGTCTCAAATTTCTACAAGATGAATGAGCGAAGCGACATGATGAAAGAGCGGTGAGTAATCTTACAACCGCAAAAAACCGGATGTTTATAGATGGAAATCGTGATCAAATTGTCACAACGCTACTAAAATATACAAAATAATTCATAGTGATAGCCTCCAGCTCTTACATCATTTCTAAAAGACATTTTTTATGCAATACCACATCAGTTAACATAATCCTCATATTTTAGAGAGCATAGTTCGACAAATGATTTATTATCTCACCTTAACATTCCTAGAAGCTACGTGACAAAAACAAGTGTTATATATTATGTATAATCGGCTTAAAAATTGATCTTTCGCAGTGACACGACGAAGCAAAGAGCATATTAATCGATTGATGAATCGATGTAACAGTTTCACACTAAACTAATTAGCCAATTTATATTAAAAAAATAACTTCCCTAACCGCTTGTGTTCGCATGAGACGCAAGGTGCTTACATTGCGTTCGCTGCTCCATTGGCCGAGTGCACCGCCTTCCGTGTCTCGCCACGCAATCATTGCATAATTGGATTCGCTAACCATCAGACATTTACACGCATTATACGTTCATTGCAGACTAGTTAGCGCTTTTCTTCGCTATCTCCCATCTCGACTGGCCGATGTATAGTAGTTTCAGCGAGTTTAACTTCATAACTCGGCTGCTTTAAGTCCGGAGCTAAACAAGTTTTGCGGGAACTGTGGGTACACCATCCCGAGGTCGGGGATTGTGCAAATATTTAAATGGTTTTCCTGTTACGCCTGAAATTGCTGTGATATTGTATAACAGTTACCCTTTCATAGAAAAATTGTAGCTATCATTAAAATGTATAAAGAATAATGTTGAATTGAAAAATGCTATTACGAATATGAACTTTATTTGTGAATCTATAAACGAGTTGAGAATGTCTTGTATCTAAGTAAGCCAAGCGGGTTATATAATCTCAACAAGTTTTCATTAAACAGGGTGCTCAAGTACTTTAGTACGACCTAGATATGTAATAAGTTGTATCACATAGAGAGATATTTTTCACGACTGGTAAACAGTTCGAGCGTGCTAGTGTTTGAATCGTGGTAGAATATTAAAATTACCGACCGTGGCGTATAATGGCTCAATAAAAACTGTCTCACAACTTAGGTATGATTTACTAAGCAAAATGGAAATAAAATAGCTATTAGATACGATGCAAATTGCAGTTTTTGTTACAACCGTCCTCTGAAGAGCACTTAGGGTGGTAACGACACCATAGATACCTACATATCGAGAATTATTTACATGCGTATCTTGTATTTTATGACCAAAATTCAAAAGTTAAAAATAGAATGCAAATATGTTCGTCGTTGAGAATAAATAGTTCGTTCTTTCATACCCGCTGCGGAAACCACACATAAAATATTGTTTCCTACAAAAAATATCTAAGTTTATTCACCTTAATGACCGATAACTGATTAAGCGAAAAAAGTTAACACGATCCGCGGGTGCGTGTTTGTTGAAGTAACGTTGGTATTATGTAATCTTCCATCTGTTAAACCACTCCGACAGGTTTTCATTGCAGTACTATGGAGTCAAGTGAAATGGTGATCGTAAACGACCCGCGCGACATCCGTGGAGTCGCAATACAAGAACCAGCAACCGATTGTTCGCACAATAAGCAAGCAACCGTTTGATGCGGTCAACTAGCGGTAGGAATGTTCCCTGTTTTGATACCGTTCCGTTTTATTTTTGTGAGGGGAAAATAACAACTCTTTGTGTGATCCACTAATTGTTGTTCCGGGTCTGGGTGTGATGTGAATGTGGAATTGTATGTTTGTAAACGCACACAACACAGGAGAAAATCCTAGAGTGGGACAACGGTTTTTTGTAAAGAAAAAAAAATCAAATGACTTCTCTCGCCCAGGGTCAGGCGGGAGAAGTAATTCTCCCCATTCCTTCTCCTGCTCTAGTCCGAAGCCGCGGTGTCTCATTGCGCTTACCCCGTAACCTCGGCTAAACATCAGTACTATAGGCCTCGTCTGTGGTGGTGTATGGTCTTATTGAGGCGAGTGCGGAACGCAAGGCGCCGTACGCTTGGGTACCGCCAGACCAGAACTATTTCTGGTCTGGCGGTGAGCCATCCTTACTCGCCGTCCTACCGTTCAGTTAAGTGTGTGGGTAATGTTCTTCGCTCTGATTAAGTGTGTGAGAGCCATGCTTCGGCGTGAGTGGAGTAATACCACGGCCTCATCGAAAACCGGTGTGAAGTAACGCTTACGTTGTGTTCCGTCGTATGAGTAAGGCTACCGGAGGTCCTCCATTTTCCATCCTCAATTCTGAAATCTCTAATAACCCACAAGAGGTCGGCAACGCACTTGTAGTAACTCCTTTAGTACTACTAGTATCCATGGGCCGCGCTGATTGCTGACCATCAGGTAATCCAACTCGTTGGCCACTTATGACATACAAAAAAAAACCGATGAAGCTTGCACTGAAACAAAGTAAGTACCTACCTATGTACCCACATCCCACGAATAAAAGACGAGATCACGAACAGGGTTAAGAGCTTTCGGAATAAAATTGTGCGCTGCTCAACTTTGGATTGCACGTGGGAAGTAGAAATGGGATAGTAAGTTGTGTTTACTTGCGCAGTAGATGTCGGTCGGGAATTAGTTCGCAACTGGGAGAGACGAAACGATATCCACATATTTTCCACTTGATTTCTTGTGCTAGGAAAGTTCTAGTTTAATAGTTTCAGTTACCCAGTGACCTCTATTATTTATGTTGGTAAATCTATACTAATATTATAAAGAGGTAAAATTTGTCGGATCGGATTGCCAAAATTCTTTCACTGATAGATAGCTACAATGTTCCCGACTGCTACAGGCTATAAAACACGCTAGGATTAAATGGACCCGAGCAGCGGGTGAAACCGCGCGAGAGTAGCTAGTGTATTATAAATGCAAAAGTAACTCTGTGTCTTTTCTTCACCGTATTTGTGTGAAATGTGGTACAGACATAGTTTGTCACTATTCCACCCACACAG